ATAAAGTATTTACTCGAATATATTGAGGCGATCCGGCCATGGACGTCTTGATCTCAGGAACTTTAAAAGCAGGAAAGATGAGATTAAGTATTTAGATTCCAGAGCCAGTATATGCAGAACAAGATTTTTCCATTTGTTTGGCCTTTTTCATTTTTTTATTTGTCTTGTAACTTTCTATCGATATGCCAAAAAACTTTTTGCCACGCCCACACTATTGAAAAATGTATGGATATTTTTTCGTTTTCTCATTTGCCTTGCCAATTTCTATCGGTTTACTCTACTATCTATCGGTATATACATTGTACGTTATTGAAATATATTATTATATTTTTTCTATATATTATATTTTTTCAGACAAATGTGGAAATTTCTCGTTCTCAGTCGGAGAACGCAACTACATCGTTCATGAATTACCTACACTTTTTTGGTAATATCACTCTCCAATATAGGGCACCGTTGTAAAAACTTTATTAACATATGGTTCTCTAAAGAAATATCTTAATTTGCCTTCTTAATGCATTTTGATTGATATTCTGTAAGTTGTTCCATGTTCAGTAAAAATTTTCTAGTTTTGATTGCTTAGAAACAAATACTTTCTTGAAAACTAATTAGCATTAGGTATACTTTTGAACGTGGCAAGGGCACGAGTTCAACTTGTTATAAAATTCAGGAAAATTAAGGGGTAATTCAATACTGATTGCTGGGGGTTTTCCACCCACTCAGCCTCCGCTGATACAATTTGATATCGGTTGGGAAATTACAGACCCACTTCATCACCATGCTTAACTCCTTACCTTTTGCAACTGCCACATCTTTTCCACTGGCACATCCGCGCTAACGAGGCATCGGCTCATGTTACCCTTCTGGAGCTGAATCCTTTGCGCTTCGTCCTTCGTCCTTGGCTGTGAAACACCGTGTCAGCTGTCAGCTGACTTGTCGACTCCAGGATAAAGAACGCAATCGATTGCAACTATAAGTACTCGCAATTAGTGTTGCCGGGGGCTTACGCAATCAATGTAAGCGGTCCGGAATGAAAATGTATATACATATTTTCAGGGGATTATGCTCGGTTGGCTTTATGAATTCCCAATGAAGGCTGCAGTTCGGTTCGGATCTGTCTGAAATCGCACGGATAAAGTATCTGCATGGTATCTGATTTTAATAGGCAGAACATCGTAATTACTTGAATTTATATTTTGGCTTCGACTATTGAAAGCTAATAAACTTGACAGAAATCTTTCTTACAAAAGATCCACTGAATATTTATTCAATACAATATTTATAGGCGGACATGTACACGTAATCATTAATCTTTTCCTTTGCCACTATTAATCAAACTTCAGTTCTGCGCTGATTATCCGCTGGGAAATTAAGTTCTTGTTCTTTTCTTCATCGCTTTTTTCGGCAGTATAGTACAGTTTTCGTTCCGTACCATCCAAATAGGACAATAAACTAAATATATTCGCATGACTATCAGCCACAAGCAATAGGTAGACTTAAATCAAAAATCCTATGCGCAGTGCTCCTGAAAATCGCATCAGTTACTGTTATGCCGCAGTGCCAAGTGTACTGACTTTTCATTTAGTTGCACCTTCAGCTAAGATAAATCGTGGTGTCAGGAGCAGTTTTTGAGTTCGCATCATACCTTGTTTACCTTTGGGCCGCCACTTGCTGCGTCGTCTCAGCTCCGAAATGAACTTTGGCGCAGCGGGTTGCCGAATCCCCCTCTGGAATCCTGGTGGCGGCGGATGTGACTGCGACTGCGACTGCCGTCAAACGTTGCGCCCTGGGGAAGCTTGTGGAAGCCCATGCCATGCCCCATGACCAAAATCCAGACACTGCCACTGACAGGCGCAGCAACAACAATCCGACAACAATCCCACTGGCAGGTATCCTGCTGTCTATCTGGCTGTCAATATCGCGCAGAAAGGATCGGCGGCACTATGAAGCCATCAAGTTGGATGGCAGTGGAATTATTTTAAGGTAAATATAGTTTAAATCTCCAGCGACAGGGTGGGAAGAAGGGGTTCTTGCTCCCGGCAGGATGTGCGAAAACTGGTTGCGGTCATAGCAATCCAATTAGGCCAGAGCAGTATTTGGCAGCAGTTAGCGTTAGTTCTTGTTACCCAGAAACTGCCAGAAGATATTCAAAAATACCCACACGAATTTCACATGGTATAAAATCGATAGAATGTAACCAGCAGGGGTTGGTGGGTGGGTTGCTTGGTTGGTTGGGGTTCACCTTGGGCCAAACCAGACCCAAAAGGCGCAGCGTGATGTTTTATAAGTGCTGTGTTTGTTTTTACTCTTCTTACTCGGTGGTGGTTAAAAAGTGCTTGTGGCTCGCTTGCATCCTGGCAGATGCCAGACTAGTCCGCCGTCTAATTGCCAAAAGGCCCGGAGTTAGAGCACTCGTTCTGGGCACGACTGAATCCTTAATTGAAAATAAACATTAAGGTACGCAATTAAATGTGCTGCAGTCTGGTTGGCTGGTTCGTTATGGCCGCGCTTTGAAGTTTATTCTATGCTCGTTTTTTATCGCCCTCGAGGCTCTGGCATCCTGATCCTGGCCACTGGTGTACTTTCCGCTGACTTCCGGCCACTTTCCAGTGTCGAATTTCAATTGTTTGCCCCATTTTGCTGCGCAGAATTAATTAATCGCTTAGGCGGCTCCATTTCGCAAAATGACAAATGATGGCGCATCTCTCGGGTCGAACAATTAGCTGTAAATTAAATTTGTATTAAGCTTAACTGCTGCGCAAATCGACAGTAAAGCCTCCTTAACAACTTACTAAGCTTACTCAACCAGTTACTTGCATAGCTCTGGCGAAACATTAATGATGATATTATGATAGTATGATATTATTATTGGCATACACGAAAAAGTTGCAATGGCTTGGGTACTTCAAACACGAAGTTTGTCAAAACCAAATTTTTTCTAAAAATACAAATTTGGTATAATTAAAAACATCTCTTTGATGGCAAGCCACTGTGAACAGTAGAAGACGTAGTGACGAAGCACACCAGTTGAGAGTGCGAATGCGACTGGTATTTACCTCATTTCGTCACTGCAGTTTTAACTTGTTATGATTTATTTTAATCATAATTGAGTGTAAGACATAAACTTAAATTTTTAGTTGCTAGGACAATAGTGACAAATGATTTTTAACTGGGTTTCTTTAAGCCTACAACTCCATAGCATTTCCCACGTTTCGTGTATACCTGCCTTGAATAAAACACTACATTTATATTGCAGAGCTGTTTGCGCTAGAGAAGTTCGACTGTTTTTATTCCACTTTTCCACTTTTCCTCATTTTCTCGGCTGTGTTTTGTGTGGCTGGGCTTTGTTTGGTCTATTGTGGGCGCCTGACGAGGCTCGTTTTCTCGGTTACTTGTGGTCCGCGTGGCTCGCGTGCCTTGAAGACATTTTTCTATGTTTTGGCCGCGTGGTGCGTACCAGGTAACCTTGTTTCCAACCACTCTTAGGTGGGCCGCAGTACGTTGGCCCGACTCGACTTGGCCATCCGGCGGACGGCTGTGCCATATAATTTAGGCCCGCCGCACAAAGTGTTGTTATGTTTAAGCACACCGCAGGCAACCAGAAAGCCACCCACCCAGAAACAACCACGCCCACACCTCAGGCAAAGGACACGCACGCGGCAAGAAGGAGGCACACCTTAATTTACCTTTGAGAAGACGCCTCCTGCTGGTTCTCCTGCCCCAGTGCCTCGTCCTTCCGAGTCCTTCGGCTCATATCGATCGGCGCATTAAAAGTTGCTCACTCTACTTTGTAAATAAGTGAATAGAAGAAGCTGCAAAACTAGTTTCAGCACACAAAAAATTGGAGCTCGTAATTGCTTTTACGTGGCTGGATTTTTGAAGGTTTCGACTGCTGATTGGCGAAAGCAAACTTTAAATGCACAGCGAAACTTTTATACCACCCACAGTTGGAACCTAAGTCCTGGCGGACTAGACATGCCATTCATGAGCCCAAGCCCCATAATCAATCAATAAAACTGCTCTAACCTTGACATGACTTTCAGTTCAGCTGCCAGTTCTCATTTGCGACGTTAAATGAAAAATGGAAACGCAATCAACTAACCAGCGGAATATCATTTCCCTCATCTCCATGCAGTGGGTCAGTTGACGGCGTTTTTCCTGTAAATTCACCGGCAAACTTCTGCCCCAATCAACTAGCGAAAAATAATAAATTTTAAACTTTTTAGGCAGTCTCACAACTTTTGCATAAGAAATGTAACGCCAGTGACAGAGAAAAAGAGTTGAGACCAAGATGAGCGAGAAACTTTGCCATTGAATTTCTTATGCCATTCGGTTTTGTGGTCTTAACATAATTCGGTCCTTTTGGGCCCGAGCTAGGACTTGATAAATTGCAGAAAGTACTTGTCAAGTGATAAATGACAAATAAATTGGCAAATTGTGTGACATGCGGGTCAAAAAACCCAACAAAAGCTGTACCAGATATATTTTGCGGGGTGTTAGTCCCTGCATTGCAGTCCTGCTGTCTTCGCACCAGATATTAATCAGTGTCCTTGCTGCCAGCCAGTCCCATTGTCTGGCCCACTTGAGAAGAAATGTCTGTTTATTGTTCGGGCAATTGCTGGAATTAACAAAGAAATTGCCCAATTTTGGTGCAGGGAATTCTGCTGTGGCAAAATAATTACAACTGCTGCAGCAAGAAAGTAAGCAAAAGTCTGTTGTTGTAAAATAATTACATTTGGCCAGTGTGCGCTTCTAAGGCAGAAAGAGAAAAGTAAAGAAAGCAGTCCCCAAAGTTGCCTTACATAAGCCCCCAAATGCGTGCTACACAAAAATGGCAAACGCAAAAGCACGCAATGACAAAATGGGCGCAAAAAATCGGCGCAAGACACACAAACAAACAACATTTGCAAACCGACAGGTGAGAGCGGCCGAGGCAAATTGATTTTCTCCGCACACTTCAAATAGAATTTTATTCAAATGTGCTCAACTGGGCGAGAGTAATGGGCCTGGGAAAACGGGAAAAGCGGATGAGGGGCAACGCTGTGGCAGGATGTGCCAGCCAATTGGCTATCGAATGCCCGGCGGAGGCGCAGGCGCATGCGCAGATGTCCTGCGCCGTGGAAGGCGCAAGGTGGGGAGCTCCAGCCTTCCAGGCTGAATACCTACTGCTGCTCTGCGCTTTTCGGCGAGCCGTCGCCAGACAGAAGTTACCTTTGCTCCTGCCCGGACGACTGAACGCACGCTGCTGCTGTATCGCCGTAGTCGCCGTCCGTCGCCTGGAAAAGAACTCCCCGGAGCTACATGCATAGCCCGAAATAGAAAAGCAGTATCATTTTTTGTGGACCCCAGCCAGGGAAATCCAAGCGAGCGAGCGTACGAGCGGTCGAGCGGTGCGGTTGCATTGCGGGTAGAGTGTCAGTGTGTGTGTTGGCGTCGGTGTGAGCGTTCACAGCGTTTGGCGATCGATTAGCGCGCGCTGCCCTTTTACATAATCGTAGCGAAAAGAAGTCCGCGCGCTTTCGTGTGCCGTTGGGTGACTTGGGTGACTTGGGTGATCATCCCATCCGAAAAAGGGAACAGGATCCGAAAGGAGCGAACGTGGCGTCCAACGAGGCCAGCACCAGCGCCGCGGGCAGTGGCCCGGAGTCCGCCGCCCTGTTCTCCAAGTTGCGTAGCTTCTCCATTGGCAGCGGGCCCAACTCGCCGCAGCGCGTCGTCTCCAATCTCCGAGGATTCCTCACCCATCGCCTCAGCAACATCACACCGAGCGACACAGGTGAGTTGTAGTTACTGTTTGATGGGACTTGCATAACGTGGCTCGGTCGTAATTAAAACTAAACAACATCAAGTCGCACACACTAGAGCACTGGGCCCGCTGGCCAAGAGGTTCGTCCTCGTCCTCAAAGGCCTCCTGCTCATCAGCGTTGTCCTTTGGCGCACAAGTGTGCCTATATATATACACACACCTCTTCTGTGTGTGTGTGTGTGCGTGTGTTTCTACGTACATGGAGAGCTCGTTCGTGAGCTCGACACTTGCCACATTTCACAGGGTAGACACATTTTATTTATGGCCCCAAAACAGCGCGAGGAAACCGAAACCGTAGGTTTCCGTTCGTAGGTTTCGTTTCACTCAATGGGTATCCGTGCAACGGCGTGGGAACGAAACGGTGCGGAACGAGTGGAATGGAACAGTTACCGTTCGACCGCCTGCCACCCAAGCTCAAAGATTGTAGCTCTTATGTAATTCCACGGACTGTGCAGGTGCCTCTCTACACGAAGAAAACTGTAGTGGCTATCTAGCAGTCTAAAAAACCATTTCAAATAACTTGCAAAGTTCATCAAATCCGGTTGTAGTTGTAATTTAGTGTGAATTAGTGTGACTATTACGTTAAATAAATATATAACACTGAAATAATGAAACTTTACTGCAGTTTTTAACATTTTCATTGCATATTTCAACACATGGTGATGAACTTTTTCGCTTATTACGGATTAAAATTAATTGGATGTTTGTTTAAAATACATTTCCTCCAATCAACCCTTGCTTTTCAACAATTATAATCTGAAGTAGAAACTAAAGTACTTAAAGCATTTTCATAATTTTAAGCTTCTGGCTACTTGGAGTGCGTACCTTACTTCTCATGAATGTATAGCCTTACTTTCTTGCGAAAATTTTAAAGGAAAGATACAAGCTAAACGAATCTCAATAGTTTTTAGTTACTATTTACTAAATAGTACGAAACCAGTTTAACACTGCATTTGAAAAGCTTTTACTCTAAAGGAGGAATCTCCATCGGCATTTAATGGCCGAATTCCTGTGCCGTCGTTGTTTCAGGACTTTTCTGCAGCCACCAATTGCGAATCAATTAGCCGAGAATCGCAAACAAACGCCTTTATTAGATTGCGTTGGCTAATCAAATTTGTGTCTGTCGTCCCATTAAATCATTACAATGTCCGTCTAGTGGAATGTGTAGATGGTCTAGTCGTGGTCCGGCTGGAGTTCATCAAGGCTTCCAGCACTACTGCCATCCGTGGGCCAAAGGAAGCCACCTGCCGGAGGAAGCAATTTTCTGTGGTGCTGCGGCTGCTGCATAATGAAGGCAATAAATATAAATTTCACACACAAACACAAACAAGACGACGGCGTCGTCATTAGATTGTTTGCCTTGTAGACGCGTTTGTAACGCTGATGTGTTCATAGCGGTTTCATGTCAAAACAAAAGGGGGCGCACCACCCAGTCACCACCACCAGAAACCACCGAGAAACTGCAGGCCCAGTCCCCTTCTTGGTTTTATACCCATCTACGGCAGCCCGAGGGGATGGAAAATGCCAGAAACAAAGGCTGGCAGGAAGGTAGCTCGTAATAAGCTAAACGAGAAACAAGTAACGCATTTGTCTTGATGCCGTCTGATAAGAACGCGCCCGGACATCTCGAGGGTTGCCAGCCCGGCATTGAGCCATCAGGATTCGGAGGGAAACTGGGGAGAAAGGAGCAGGATCTGGACCAGCACTGGCGCCCAAGTAGCGACATCAAAAGTCGTAAACGGCACGCTGATGGTGTTGTTGATTGCTCCGCATTTGGCAAGCTACAAATGGTTACATTTTAGGCCCTGGGTTCGATGCTGGAAATTAGCAATTTGCTGGCACGGCTAGGATATCGCAGTTATTAATCAAAACTGCACACAGAGAAAAATTGGTGCTCTCGCGCAGAAAAAGCGACAACGAGAGCTACCCAAATTCTACAGCTGAACGGCTTTGAAAGATTTTTACAAGAAATCACACCTTATAAATCTCTTAGTGGAAATGTTCATACTTTTGAGGGACTTGCAGTGGTAATTTGAGCAAGTTGGAAATTGTGAGATGGCCGAGAAAACATTTTCTGTGCACAAAACTACTTGAAACACGAACTGCTGAATGGGAGACATAAAGGTGAATTACTTTTACTCCGCAAAAAAGGCAGTGAGTATGGCAAGTCCGAGTAATTTATGAGCAAATCAATTTGTAATCCAACGCTGACAGTTGACCAAGAAGGGATGTTCGGTGGAAACAGCACATGTGTGCAAAAACACGGACATTAGACACGCACACCCACACAGGCAAGATCGAGAAAGAGGAAACCATTTGGGGCTCACACCCCCAAGAGCCCGCCCATTTAATGTTTTGATTTATAGACAGCCCCGCACTAGAGGAGCGGCTCATACGCCCCGTGGTACCATCAGTGCCACCGAAATGGCGCCCTTTGTGCGCTCGTGCTCCTTTATTTCCATTTTGGGGAGCTGGAAACTGGAGTGCGGATCCTCGGGCTAAGTGGCTGCGTGTCCACTGGGAGTTGATAAAAGCACATCAGCGCAGCAACAATAAGAGCAATAAAAACAAGGACCTGCAGCGCAGGGGGTTGCTCGAAAGCAAAAGGGATACCCAGCTCAAACTGACATTTTCCTTCGCCCCGAAACTTTGGCAATTAAAAAAGTGCTTTACAACGACTAGCTGAGCTATGCTAAAGCCAAAGCTCTAAAATCGATTGCACAATCGCAAGACCGCGACAAGACAATTAAACTTGAAACAAAAATGTCACTTGGCAGTCGGAAGAGGGTTAAGGTAACGCTGGCAACGCTGGCCAACTTAATCGATCAAGAGTGGCCAAGGTGAGGCTCATTAGCTGGTCACAGTTCATTAGAGCCAATTGCCCGGGAACGTGTCTCAGTCGGCTGCCCCCCGACCAAAACTTCAACCCTTCGAACCACTTGAACAAAGCTGCTTACACCACTTGCGGGGAGGCTTACAAGGCCAGACCTTTGAGGGGTGGTATCTAAGTCCATGACACACGGACCTAACACTTGTGAGGATTTTCCGGCGCCTTTTGTCGGGCTCACCGTAAATATTATGATATATTTTATACGCTGTTTATTTAAGACAGCACTCCACAGCCGCACCTTGGAAATTGGCACTGAAACGCAGAACGAAATATGTTCTAGATTATTAATTTTAATGGCATTCGCAGCGTTGCCTGGGCAATGGCAAAGCGCCAAAGCGCCAAAGCGCCAAAGCTCAGAGTTACATGTTACATGCCAACTCATTGCAAATTCAAGCCGAACCCCACGATATTGTATTTTTTATGTCTCACCCTTGAGCGGAGCGAGGGCAGAATGAAATTGTATTTTACGCTGATTACCTCGTCAGACAGACGCAGGCACACCCAGGACTAAAAAAAGCGAATGTAATTTCATTCCCCTTTCTCGGAAAGCAAACATCCTTTGCCGTTGCTCAAAAAACGACAGGGCGACTGACAGAGGAGCTGGCTGCGGATGTTCCCAGGGTTACGGCGGGTGGCAAAAGTTGGCGATCATCCCGCCATTGAAAAGGCCAGTGGATAGTGGGTGGAGCTTTAAGCCTGGCTGAGAAGAAAACACTTCCTTCAATTGCTGCCCCAGAATCCCATTTCGTCCTTTGTTGTCTGGCAGAGGATTAAATTTGGCTTTGCCTAGATGGAAATCTTAAAGCCCTCTGAATATTTAAGGCAGCACCTGAAGCCCCACAGGTAGCGCAATATTAATGAGACACAAGTAGAAACTACATTTGCCTCCTGCTGCGCAGCCAGGGAAAACACATGGGCCGTCATAATTTACTGCGGTGGAAGCTGCATAAAATATGAACGCTTGGCCTGCTAATTGAGGCAGTCGGAAGTTGCCACTCGACCTCAAAAAGATGAAAAGGAAACCCGGCAGGAGCTGCAACAAAAGGTCAGGCGAAACGGAACTAAAACGCAAAGCAAATTCATGACCACAAGCCACCCAATATTTCCATAAATGTTCCAGCATTGCCTGGGAAATCCATCAGCTGTCCGGGGAGCTCTGCCAGACAGGGCGGAAAAATCAATAAAATTATAAACGCGTAATACAAATTGCTAGCTTACTTATAAACAGACATGCAGAAAGCATAGCTAGGTGTGTTCCTTTCAAATTGGTAATCAGTCAAGTAAATATAATACAACTTCTTTGAACACATGTTCAAATATTTATAGGAATGAAAGAAGCAAAGTTTTTGATGTGAAACTTGCTCCAGTTGTTTATCCTACCAAATACCGATTATTGGGCAGAAAAACATAATAAAATCATCAAATTGAGAAATCTTAAAGAAATATATTACAGCAAAAGCTGGTTCCAGGCGCTCTTCCGAGTGTTTTGTTATAATATTGCTTTATACTACGTGAGATACATTGAAAGGTCTGTTTAGTGGGGACCTTGTTGAAATCAACATGTAGGCACACGTTTCTGCACTTGACTTGAGCAGCTGCAGGCGGGCGACCAGGAGCAACCCCTGGTGCTGATAAAAGCCCGCCAGCCACCACCAGCGCCCCAGGGTCAAGTGCGACCATCCACCACCCACCCACCTGACCCACCGCGCCTCCTCCTGCTTTTGTTGTTGGGGGAAAGTACTCATGCATGGAGAAAACTCAAAAATTAAAGTCGCTGGACGAAAAATAAAAGCAGGACCCCACTCGGTCGCAAAACATAATTGACTCATGGGCAGCCCGGGGGCTGTTGCCATACATACAAACAAACATGCATACATAAATATATACACATTAATATATGTAAGAGTAGCTAGGTGAAAGTGGGTGGGTTTGGAGCAGATACACGGACGTGGTCATGAAAATTTAATGATAAAACGAAATGTTTTTGTTACGTCTCGCACACACCAAAGCCTCATAAGGGGCGGCTCTGCATTTGGATGGATGGAGATGGTAGCCGAAAAGTGGGGCAGGGGTCATATTTATACCCAGCACACGTCGTATTTTCGTGTTTACCCAAATGGGGGTGGCTGGTCGCCGAGCGCTGGAAGGTAGATAAATGTGGAAATTAGATCGGCATTGATAGCCCACACAGCAGCGATGTTGGCTATAGGAAGTTTTTAACACCAAGCCCTAATGAACAACAGTTTTTGAAGTATGAGTCTAAGCTGTATTGGTTTTCACAGAAAAACAAAGAATCACTGAGCAAGATTGAAGCTTTAGCATAAGACACAATTCATAGCTGAAAGGTGATTTTGTTAAAGCTTACTAAGGTTTTAAAAGCTACATTTTGACCACCGAAAAATACAACCTTTATTTAATCACAATGCTTGGGTGGACTTAAGCACCCTTTTGTTCGCATTCAAGTCCTTTCTGATGGCGTGCAGGTTGAGTGGGTCCTTTTTTGTTTCTTTGTGAAGTAAAAGCAATAATTATAATTACTGCGTCGATGAGTGCAACCGCGTGGCGCTGAGAACACTTCCCTCCGTTTACTTGCCCACAAAATCCAATTAAAATAATTGCTATACCCTTTATAATCACCCTGGACCCACAAATGTATTTAATGAATTAACTGTAGAATTTACACGTACTTTTCGGTATTTGTTTTATGATTGAAATGTGTGTCCCTCGAAAAGAAGAACCTAAAACTGAAAGATATCCCTAATCCTATGTAATCGAAACATTGCGAATGCCACGAACTAATCCTAATACAATACAATTTCTGTTCACCAGCAGGCAGCCTTTTGCAACACAGAAACAACATTTCAATCATAAAATAGACCCAACTAACCAACTAATCCTAGTTAAGAGAAATCCAGTAATAGAGCAAAAGAAGCACATGTGTGAGAAAGAGTGATGCTGAAAAATTAAGAAAATAATTGTAGCAGGCAATCAAGCAACAGAATTAAAGAAAAGACTAACGAAATCTTGTTTCTGTGTCGTTAAAGGTTGTTCACTGGCATGCCAACAACTCGTACACCTCCAACTACAACAACCACACCAAAACATGTAAAACCACACAGCAACAACATCAAAAGCAGGAGCAAACACCACAGTTAACCACAAGCAACGATAAACCACCTCAGAGCTGGCAGTTAGCGGAGCGGAAACGGAAGCGGCCATATTTGTAGCGAGAGCTAAGCAATTTCCGGCCTTAAGAATGGCAGGCCCGCAGATCGGCGCTTAAAAGCTTTAAGGCAACAGAGAAGAGTACAAAAGAAGCAGAGAGAGAGCGAGAGATAGAGGAAATCCCAAAGAAACTGGATTAAAACTGTGTACACCTCAGCAGTTGAAATTAATTAATTGCAACCAAAATGGCCTCATTCCAAATACCTGTTATCAACCTGGAGGTGCGCGAGGTCAAGGACATCGTGTGGGAGAAGATCCAGGAGCCGGTGAACCAGCGACGCCTCATCCTCGTGATTGTATCGATTGCCCTGCTGCTGGACAACATGCTGTACATGGTGATAGTGCCGATTATACCCGACTATTTAAGAGAGATTGGCAGCTTCGATGACGGGCCGACGCCCCCTCCGTTGCGGGATAATATCACGGGAAAGATCATACCCGTGCATCACGATCATCACGGGCAGGACTCGGCCACGGGCATCCTATTCGCCTCGAAGGCCATCGTCCAGCTGATGGTGAATCCCTTTTCGGGCGGCCTCATCGACAAGATCGGCTACGATTTGCCCATGATGATCGGCCTGACCATCATGTTCTTCTCCACGGCAGTCTTTGCCTGTGGCAGCAGCTACAGTGTCCTGTTCTTCGCCCGATCCCTGCAGGGAGCTGGTTCCGCCTTTGCGGATACCGCCGGATTGGCCATGATAGCCGATCGGTTCACCGAGGAGAACGAGCGCTCGCAGGCCCTTGGCATTGCGCTGGCCTTCATCAGTTTTGGATGCCTGGTGGCGCCTCCGTTTGGCGGGGCGCTCTACCAGTTCGCCGGAAAGGAAGTGCCCTTCCTGATCCTGGCACTGGTGTGCCTACTGGACGGGCTGATGCTGCTGCTGGTAATGAAGCCGGTCAAGGAGGCGATTAAACAAAGCAAGGACGTGCAGGACCAAGTAATACCCATCTGGCGCCTGCTGATGGACCCCTATATTGCCGTCTGTGCCGGGGCACTGACCATGTCCAATGTGGCGCTTGCCTTCCTGGAGCCCACCATCTCGCTGTGGATGGAGGACAACATGACCACGGACAACTGGAAGATCGGCATGGTCTGGCTGCCCGCCTTCTTTCCGCACGTGCTGGGCGTGGTCATTACGGTGAAGATGGCCCGAAAGTATCCGCAGCACCAGTGGCTAATGGCCGCCGGTGGATTGGCCCTGGAGGGCTTCTCCTGCTTCATCATACCGTTCTGCAGCGGCTACAAGATGCTCATGCTGCCCATCTGTGTGATCTGCTTCGGAATCGCCCTCATAGACACGGCTCTACTGCCCACACTCGGTTATCTGGTGGACGTGCGATATGTGTCGGTTTACGGCAGTATCTATGCCATAGCGGATATATCCTATTCCATCGCCTACGCCGTAGGGCCCATTATCGCCGGCGGAGTGGTGGAGGCCATCGGGTTTACGGCTCTCAACTTCTTGATAGCCTTCTCGAATCTGGCCTATGTGCCCGTTCTGCGAAAGCTACGCAACATCTACGACTTCAAGCCGTTCGAGAATGAGGCCAACATTCTGATGCAGGACCCGCCCAACAAGGAGTACCAGACCTATGTGATGCACGACCAGAAACCAGTGGCGGGTGGCGTCAAGAACCACCTGGAGTACGGCCAGCAGTATCAGCAGGAGCAGGAGACCAATCTGGACGACCAGCAGTACGAGTACCAGCAGCAGCAGGGATACCAGCAAGGATATCAGCAGGATCAGGGCTACCAGCCGGGCTACCAGGAGCAGGGCGGCAGCTACGCCCCCCAAGGTCAGCCCCGCGTGGCCAATCCCTTCCAGCAGCAGCAGCAGCAGCAACAACAGCAGCAGGTCCAAAGCAGAGGTCCTGCCGCCCCAGCGAATCCCTTTAGGCAAGGATTTTAAACTGTTGCCCCACATGCCCAAAAGCAACACAGCAACCCCTAGTTTTAAATCGTGTTCTTTTGCACACCTCCGTGTGCAACATTCTGTTCTCTGTTGAACCCACTCTGATCTAGACACAAGACACATACACACATATATTACTATAGACATATAGGCAAGTGGTACGTACACTATAACGAGCATTACATGCAGATAGTTAAAATAGCAGCTAGTTAATGCCTTGCACCGCACCAAGTTTTGTATCATACACGAATGTTAAAGCAACCGAGGACAGTGATGGGCGTGGTGGGACTTGAGTTTACTTGGATATTCCTAAAAAGTCATAGAATATTAAATTTAAAATCAAATTCAAATTCAAAATTTAGAAGGCACTCGCAAATGTGAACTGAAATAGCGAACTCTTTTTAGTGCACTTTTTTTTTTTATGAACAGAGCTGATACCAAAAAAGGGAGTGAAGATAATACATCAAAGCTATTTGTAAAGAAGATATTATATACGAACAGTTCATAATTTCAAAATGCCAACAAGAATTAATGTTTCAGTAACCAGAAAAGCGAACAGAAATTTGAATGCCAAGTAAGCCACAGAACCAGCAGACCCAGGAAATACCCATCACTGATATAACGCAATTATGCTATATAGAGCGGTCCGATCGGATCGCCTATGCCCTATACTCAGTACTTATGCAGCCGTTTTCGTGTCTATCAGTCAGTGAAGCTAGAGAAACCAAAGCCTAGGCATAGATAGTTGGTAAGGGGAGGACTCGGACTCCCGCCCCATCAAGTATACACAAAAGTATCAGATATTATATACACGCATACATATATATCTATATACAAGCTAGCTGTAAGCAGCTCAACTGGCCAGAGGACCACTTTTGCCCGAGTGCCGCCGTTAAACAGGCAATGGCATCCATATCGCAGACATATCACAAGTTGCACAAATCGAAACCCTCCCACGCCCACTGAAAAAGAGGAACTCTTTCGGGTGTCGTTGTGGCGGACTTGGGAGGAGAGTGGATTCCCGGCCAGAGGGTGATATGATTTCAGGTTTGAAAAACATAATGATTTGAAAGTTTCTTAAACATAAGACACAACCAAGGTAACGATACATATCAGAGTCTCGATGGCTCGCCTGTTAAAATTACCAAAAGTGATATTACTTATTGCTACTAGTCTGTATACATATATCGTATCATATCGGTAGCATACGCAACTAGATCTAGGACGTACATGGAGTGTACATAAGTTATACAACAACCAATGGAAACAGAAATCAATTGAGATTCAAATTAAAGTTTCATATTTACCTACCAATCAATTATTATTTGCTTGTTGACTCTATGTGCATATGGGCGGTTCCAACCTGGGTACTGCCGCCATAGTAGATCTTCGATAGCATAGCATAAATGTGTGTACCTTGTCTATAAGATAAAGATAAACCTAACTGAATAATATGAACATATTTACTAACGATTATTGTAGTCATAACATACAGTACGGTATTTTAATTCGTTTCGACTGCACCACTTTTTAGGGCAGTTTACTGCCCCTATATTATACACCTTTTAGCTGGACCCAAAGCTCCACCATATCGATAAGTAAATTGATCTTTTATATACAATTCAGCATGCGTATGTGGACTTCTATTTATCTACATTTTTCGAATGTGTTAAGTGGGAAATTACAATTTCTATAGTCGTAAACATATCAGTCAAACGGCCATTTAAAAACTGATTATATTTATGGTTACCAACAAACATAATATATGTACGAGTTTCCTTTTACGAATTACGAAATATACGCTGTAAATTAACGAAAATGCACTGATTTTGATGAAGTTACAAAATACGTTCATATGGTTTTAGAAAATACTCGTTTCAATATTTGCATTGATTTTGTTATAGTTCCTCTAGGAAAACAACACTGTTGTCTGTTTTTAGAAGTTGCCAGCTTTATGTTTAATTGAATTCCATTATTTCCTTATTTCACCAACACTAAATATATGTACTTAAAAATATATACATAGTTCTACAAATTTACAAAACTGTAGAAATGCTCTTAACTATAATATGAACTAAACTCATGAAAAAATCTCCCATCAAATGTATCAATTAAAACGAAGACGAGTAGTGGTGAAGTGTTAAACTACATACTTACATATACTCGTATATAAAGCGAAGAAGAGTAAAACCAGAACAATTAATATAGTCAATAAAATATATTATTATGTAACATATTATAACCTTGTTTATTTAAGTAGCTACAATAGAATTTTAATAACAACTAACAAAACATATATATATGAAAATGTATGAAAAGACACCGAAAAAGCAATATTTATGTAAGTTTCCTTTGAAACAATCATCTAAAAACCACAATGCCAGGTCTTGAAGTCATGTAAGGATTGGAATTCCGTTCAAAAACAATTAGGCATTAACTTTAGTCCGTTCCTTTCGCTAACATATGATTAATTTTTACATGACTTTCGAAACTGGATGTAGATAGATGTCAAACAAATAAACATGGCAATTTCAGGCATTCAAGATTTCAACCGATTTGAACAGTTTTAACCAAAGTTTGGTAGAGCGTAACATGTATATGAATCTTCCAATTTTGGTTTACAAATAAATATAATTATATAAATATACAGCTAAGTAATAACCATCACATTATGTACTCAAAGGACGAGGACCCAGAAGGTCGATTGAAAAGAGCCTGAAGGATGTGTAGCAGTGCCGGCAATGTGTAATAACTTACTAAACAAATAAGAGCAAATGGAACGCATAAACTGTATGTGTTACGAGCATATAAATATAAATATAAAAATGAAAATACAAATACAAATACAAATAAAATCATAAGAGAAATGTATGATAACATATATAAGTAAAATATACATTTATGAAATGAATTATTAAACACTATAGCAGTTAATCGAGTGGTTATACTCTGCGTATTACAAGTGTTGAATGTTCAATAGCATTATATGAATTATGAATTATATGCAATAACTGTGCGCTATGGATAATTAATGAACAAAATTAATTTTTAATATCGAATATATACTAAATGATATAGGGATTTTACCTTGGCAACAAAACCAGCAGCACAGAAAAATAATTTGATATTTTTTCATATGAGAAATGCCTCTCCGACAGTTTCTATGTGTTGTGCGTGTGAAGAACGTTTTAGGAAATTTAATTGTATACCCTAGACAAAATAAAATGAGTTCGTAAGTGAAGCCCACAAAGTTAATGCCCCACAGTTCGGTTTTGTATTGTATATAAGGCATATTGTTACTTTCGAATGTCCATTTCGGTAGAAGGCACGTCAAAGTCAAAGTCAAAGTCAAAGTAAAAGTAAAAGTCAGAGTCGAACCGTTTCGAGTACATACTTACATAGATGGTACAGAGCTAAATTATTACAAAAGTCTTTGAAATTTGTTTCGGCTAATGTTATAGACGTTTGTGTTACATATTTAACAATAATTATTACGATAAACTGTGGAAATTATAATAACAAAAACATAATTAAGCAAATGCAAACCAGCAGAGTAATTCAAATTTTACCAAGTATCCAAATCCCAGTTCTGTAACGTTGCTGTTCAATTTCCAAGTCTATCCATCTATATTCTATACGTAATATTGTTTATATCTGTATATCACACCGTTCTTCAACTATCCCCAAAACAAAAGTAAGCAAACTAAGTGCTATGCATATCAAAACGAAGCGAATCGATGTTCGATGACTTAACATAGCTAAAACCCCTCTATAATCAAATGTAAGCAATAGGGAAAGAAGCAGGAACTGCCTCGAAAAGCAAATTTAAAAATCGGATCGATGTGTGCATATTTTCCTTAAGATTCATTCACGGCATAAGTCAGCAAAATTGAAAGCTTAAACAAACACCACTTTTGCTGGCGTTGGCATTTGCCGTATTTATTCAAGGGTAAAATTCGAATTGAAAACTCGCACACATGACTCTATAAACGTATTTGAACTGCATCGAAGAAAGAGAATTCAAAATGGCAGTTGCCTGCTTTCGGCTATTGGAAAATGCTATGAATAATGAATTGAACGAGCAGAAAATTATAACCGAACGTACATTAAAGCATACAGATATTGGCATGAGCTATAGAGGAAAGATAATGCATTATTACAGAGCGACACACCCAACACACAGCCCACACACACCCACACACCCACACAGCCAACCACACCCAACCACAACAGAGACAAAGAACACAAAACAAACATGTACTATTGAAATATAATTGTTAACCATGGAAAAACGAGTCTTTTCTTAATGGAAACTGGCAGCTCGTCCGATCTATTAACGATTAATGCAATTAATTAGCTAATGTGGGCGAAAAAGGACCTTCTGGTCCGATTAAAATCGAGCCGCATTGTGTGTACACCTGGTTTGGTTTCGTGCCAAGTCTGAACTTGGAAACTTTGGCATTATGGCATTCATCTCCCAGCTCTGGGGGTTAGTATATGTTCCAATGGACTTCCCCATCCAAAAAACACCCGAACTTTTGGGGGAATTGTGTGCGTGCCCTGGGGACAGAAATTTGTGTGGAAAATGATTTTATGTTTGCAATTTCCATTAGCAACTTTGGCCCGAGTCACGAACAGCCAACTTTCGTCTACTTATTTATTTCGGATTTTTGGGGGATGATGCCCCAGGCTGAGATACAGATTCAGCCGCAAACGAAAGGTGGACCGATTCTCGGGCGTGTCGACCAAATATTCTGACTGCTTAGCCGCAAACCGCAAGCCAAGTACAAGTCAGCAGAATACCAATCTCCGCCACAATGCCCTAGCAATTTACGCTTTCCGCTTGTTTCAATCGGAACAATTACAAGAATTCCAATGCCTCAATGCGGCAGTTAATTTGAGTTTGGCGCACAGAAGTATGCTAGGCATTTGCGGCTGGAGAGCGGAAAAACCCATGCCACCCACATCCACAAAAGCGCAGTGTAGTCGCATTCGCCGTGAAACAACGGCGCTAAGACTGTAAAGGATTTACGGCTCAATTGCGATGTGCGTACGACGGCCACGGCAGCCCCATGCTCACCGACATCCCCATCCTTGTCCACGTCCACCCCTGAATGGAGAAAAGCCCTTTACGAGCAGCCAAACCGAACAAAAGGAGGAAAACTCATTCACTAGACCATTCATCGCTTGTTTCGACATCCGACAATGTTATGACCCCGCCAGCTTCCGACACTGAAAAAAATCCAGCACTTTCTATAGGTAAAAACTCTCAATAAGATTAAATTTATAGTGCCAGCAAACCTAGACGTTAATATTGAAAAGAGTGTTGGATTAGTTAGTTGATACTTTTATAAGGGGCTTAATATATTTTGGCCCTTTTTCGGTTAATATTTCTGAGAAATCGAAAAACTTTATAAGCAGATTTGAAATTGATTGGAATATAGTTGTTTATACACACACATTCTATATTAAGTAATAACTCTATGGTTAGGCCTTAATATGTTATACCTCTTTATATTACCTTTATTTTCTCGGTGTATCGGTGGTGTAGTCACCACCGAACGCTGGTACCAGTTGGTGGCTGCGGTTTGGGGCGCCGGCTTGTTCGACGGGTGTTTTATGTAGTCGCAACGTGTCGCGCCCTCGACGTGCCGCCTCCTTGGGGTGCGGATTTGTTTTGCCTTTTTAAATTCTTCTCCTTCATTTGCTCCGGTTGCCGGCATCTGCTATTCGGACTGGTCCTAATGAGCTACGGCCTTGGGGTTGACTGTAGCTAAATTGGAATCATGCCGGCAGAAACATTATTTTTCATTGGGATTACATTTTTATCGCATTGTCTGACAGGCGGCAGCAGTTGCCTGTCCTTGCTGCTTCGTCCTTTATGGAAAGGGAGCTCGGAATGCCATGAATTCGAGCGTGATTTTTGCAGCTTAATAATGAGCCCTCGGTTTACTGACGCGTTTTATTGGCCAGCATTTAAAGTAGGGCCGTGTTGCCATTAAGCCCAAGATTCCTCGCCGTTAATGTGCGAAATGTCTCCGGCATATCGCCATCGCCATCGCAACCCATTATCCAATATATACACACAAAATAATAACAAAGTATTGGCTGGGACCAAATCGAATCAGGAGTTGGCACAAAACTGACAGATACGAGCAAATTGAAGCAGACAGCTACAGGAAAGGAAAGGAATGGGGAGCATTACTTTTGGGGTAAGTCCCCAATTCGGAACCGGAACTGCGCTGTGTCTGCCGCCGAAATGATGCATGAATATCTGATTAGCCGTCTGTCGGCCTAATCAGAAAACCTGGCCATCAATCACTCAATTGGAAAAGTGTCGCTGCCAATGCATATAATTAAAGGTGACGCAGCGGATACGTTTTTAGCTCTTGGACGGGGAAATAAATGGGACACATTCTTATTTTAGGCTGCAGTCGAATATCTTTGCATGTATTATATTGAATATATCATTTTATATTTAATATATCGTACGAATCAACATCTAGCTTTCGTAGTTCCTGAGATCGAGGCGTTCATACGGACAGACGGATGCTCAAGAATATATATACTTTATATGGTCGAAAACTCTTACTCTAACTTTTACGGAAACTTTTACTCTACGAGTAACGGGTAACGGGTATAAAAAGTGTATTACTTATAATTATATTTAGTTAAGATGGCAAACCTCAAGTTTATGATTTTTGCATTAAGCCCGAGAACATCCCCCATCGCAAAAGCCAGTTTATATTCATTTGGGAGGCTAATTTTGTATTTTCCTACGTCTGGTCAGTGGAAAACTTGGTAATTGGAATTTATATTTGGACATCAAAGAGAAAGTAACAGGCGCAATAACTTTCCCCAACTTGTTGTAAATTGATATTTGCTCTATTAAGCGAGCGAAATACAGCTACCCCAAAACCATTAGCCAGTGATCGGGGAGCTGGGCCACCCCAGAAAAGAGTGGCCCACACCAGAGCTTTAATTACTTAATTTGAATTTCTCAACGACGCTTCCTAATACAATTTATTACAATTTGCTGATGGGTAGATGGGCATGATGGGTGACCCTGGACAGGTTACATTTTGTGGTTGCTGTTGTTCCAGCCCGGCGAGGACAACAAAGGAACGGACGTTCAAATTGCCGCCACGTGACTCCATTGTGTGATTACCTCCGCCAGCCATGTAGTTGCTCAACTAGGGCATCTTTAGCGAGATAATGAAAAAAGGATAATAAATTGCATTAAATTTGACATCGTTGTGGGTGAGGCGCGTGGCTCTACCTCCACCTCTGCTCAAAGGGAAATAAAGCCAAGGAAGGCCTGTTTGCCGTTTCTGCTCGTTTTCCTTTTATCCCGATTGCCATAGAACAATTTTATTAATAACATTATGATTGTCCCGCCGTTTCGAAGGTGGGTGGGGTCGATTTGGCTGGAAATCGAGCAGCCCTACAAAGCTGGTTAGCAGTGCTTCAAAGTGGTGTGTGTTCCCCTCAAGTGGCAAGCAGTTTAGATAAGGGCCTTGTTACCTTTGAAAAGAAACGAATATTATTAAAAAAAATATATATATATGTAATTTCTAAATTGTTTTGGGGCTATTGTCCTTATTTTACTGCGCTTAAACTTGATCTTGGACCTATCATAGCACATCTAGAACTGATTCAGTTTCTTGCTTCTTTTCAAAAGAATATTTTGATTTTCGACTTTAGATTTTTCAAATCTTGATTTTAAAATCGATGTTGCTTGTGGAAGAACTTGACGATTGCTGTTTGGAAAGTTGCCATCGAGTGTCTGACAAAAGTCTCTCCTTGCCATTGGGTCTGAGCCGGAAATTCGAGCTACTCGGGCGCAATGGCAACCGGAAGTGCTTATACAGCTGAATTACAGCAATGACAGCTAAAGTTTTTATGTGTATGTCAGGAGCCGAAAGGCGGACAGTCGAAAGGAAATGGGCCTGGCTTTAAGCCCGAGAGTTTTCAGTTTCCTCTGGCCAATTTTATTGCATTTCGCCGGCGGAAGCCTGGCCAAGACAATAAATGGCAAACTAGCACGAATTTGCCCGAATCTTTGTGTGCTTTGATGCGGGACGATAAATGGTGGTGGGTCATCGAGGGGATAATCGATTGAGAGCTAACGAAGTTTGACATGCGGATAAGAAAAATCAAGTTAATGGTCGTCGGGAACCGAAAATATTCTTCTAAAAACAGTGAATACTCGGTGACACATAGGCTATACATCTTTTTTTTCGTGCGACTGTCAGCCGATCGATAAGCAGCAGTCTAACGATTGCGGCAAATTACTCAACCATTTAATTTGGTGTTCAACAAGTGGTTAATCAGCTTGTTTTCTTTGTTATTTCAGGATGGAAAGACTCGATTCTGTCGATACCCAAGAAATGGCTGTCAACGGCCGAGTCTGTGGACGAGTTTGGATTCCCTGACGTGAGTAAAATTGATTAAACCATTTCGAATTCGCCTTCCCCTTTTCCAGCAAATATTTGCCCTAGGGCTAAACTCGACTGTTACTTGAATAATTCAAAGACAAACACTCGCACAGACGACAGACTAATCCTGTTTGTTATAATTACAAATGCAAATAACGAGGGCTTTTGTATGGCAACAGGAGCTCGGGTTGCTCCTGGCAGCCAACCTGCATGCAAACAAACCGGAAAAACCAACCTTTCCAAAACCCGCCCCCCACAACCCCAAACTCACCTGAAAAAAAGCACAGCAGCCACAGTAACAACCCCCGAAAAGCAGAGTTAGACATCTAAATTGTAAACCGATGGATGAAAGGGGAGCCCCGAAAAAAGACAAGTGACAGGAGACTGGGTATTCGGATATAACAAAAGATACAATTGCTTTGAAAACGGAGAACAGGACGTATCCGGAAGTCAACGACATGCTGATACCTTGTCGTTTCGCTGTTGAGTGGAAAACTGTGTTTTCGCAGCAGGTAAATCAAGGTCGATGGATACATTTAAATATGGAATTGCAGCCAGAAATCCTGCATTCAAAATCAGCTGCGGCGGCCATCCGGCAATCGATTGGATTGCCGACCTCGAAATACGACGATTTTCCCACTTGGGAACACCTAGGGAAAATCTCTCAATTAAAGTTGCCGGGCGAGGGTGGAAAGCGGAAAGCGGAAAAGGAAAAAATGTAAAGGAGCGGAGTACAATGTCAGATTCAAGCCATTCCATTTCTTGTTCTATTTTTTGTGATTTCAAATTCGGTTCCCCAGGGCATCGGCATCAACTTATGGTATTGCTGGTGGCAGGACAAAGCAACTTTCCATTTGACGCTCGATATTGCCATGCATACAAATGAGGAAATGGGGGAAAATTCCCGGGCAAGCCGGGCAATGCCAAGTGCCTAAGATGAGTGGCAGGAAAATCAAATTAAATTTGCAGCACCACGCAGCTTACTAACCCCATCGAGAACCCTTTTTTCTCGCTCCGTTTTCGCAGACTCTACCCAAGGTGCCCGTTCCAGCACTGGATGAAACGATGGCCGACTACATCCGCGCCCTGGAACCGATTACCACGCCGGCGCAGCTCGAGCGGACCAAGGAGCTGATCAGGCAGTTCTCGGCTCCCCAGGGAATCGGAGTACGACTGCATCAGTATCTGCTGGACAAACGCGAGGCGGAGGATAACTGGGTGAGCATTGTAATTTAGTGATTTCTTGTTTATAAATCTAAATAAAAATTAAGAAATTCAAAAATACATACATGCACTTTTTGGCAATAAACAGGTTTTTATGTCTCTGAAGTTTTTCTTTGATGGCTTACAATCAAATTTCTTGTTATTAAACTTATATTGGGGCTGTTGAAAGAACGAAAAATTATTTCCTTTTCATAATGAGTGTGTCAACACTTTATTAAGCCACAAGTTCTGGGGTTTTAGATAGAATCAACTCGAGGTTTTACTGTTGGACGATGGGCGAAGGCGCGGTCGGAGGACCGTTGTTGATGGTTGGAGCTGTGGGAACGGGCGTCATCGGAGTGGGCACGTTGCCCTCGTTGGGTGATGGAGGCTGGGGCACGGCGATGGTGGTACCAGTGGGGGTGATGATGTCGTCATTGCTGGAATTGGTGGTGGTGCTGCCAGGAGCATCAGTTTGTGGAGTGGGCACCGAGACGGTGGTTGACTGGCCAGGTGCCGCAGTGGTGGGGGAAACGGTAGTGGGAGTGCCGGTGGTGGACTGGCCAGGTGCCGCAGTGGTGGGGGAAACGGTAGTGGGAGTGCCGGTGGTGGACTGGCCAGGTGCCGCAGTGGTGGGGGAAACGGTAGTGGGAGTGCCGGTGGTGGACTGGCCAGGTGCCGCAGTGGTGGGGGAAACGGTAGTGGGAGTGCCGGTGGTGGACTGGCCAGGTGCCGCAGTGGTGGGGGAAACGGTAGTGGGAGTGCCGGTGGTGGACTGGCCAGGTGCCGCAGTGGTGGGGGAAACGGTAGTGGGAGTGCCGGTGGTGGACTGGCCAGGTGCCGCAGTGGTGGTACTGATGGGCACACACTTGACGTCGATGGGCAGACTGCTGCACTGGGCGCTCGGGAAGTAATCGGCGCAGGACAAGCATTGCTGCAACACATAGTTGAAGTAGGTGTCAGTGGCACAGTTGGTCAAGACGGCGGTCAAGACGGCGTTCAAGCCTTGGGTGCACTGGTAGTAGGTGGTGCTGTCCTCGTAGTTGGGCAACTTGAATGAAGCCCGTGGGCAAACAACGGGATCGATCTTTTCCGCATACTGTGGAACACTTGAGCAGGCGGCATGGGCTTTTCCGGCCACGGCCAGCAAGGCGGTGAGCACAAAGATCACTTTGGGATTGGAAAGAATAGGAGGAGTGTGGTTTATGGGCTATATCCTGTTGGCCTATCTGAGGTGCTGCTTACCGGCTTTCATGTTGGTGGTTTGATTTTCGGGTTACTGGCAGGACTGGAAATATAATGCGTCTGGCTGCTAGCTCGGCTCACCGATCACTGATGCATTTCAGCCAGCTCGAAAGCCTTTTTATGGGGAGGCAGGCCATGCTAGGCAATTTTAATCAGCCCGCTTCTAGATTAATTCGTGTCTTGTCGGCCCGGGTGCGAAATTGAAATCAGCAATGGCAACCAACCACGCTTAATTGCGCCTTAGAATCGTTGCCCCGAACTCTCGGTAATCTCGGCCAGATAACAACGGGGCGGAAACTATTCCGAATCTGGCCGTCAAGTGAGCAAGAAATAGGAACTTCTCATTCCGAGTGTCGTGTCAATTAGCATCGCAACTAGATCATCTGGAGAGGCGGAGATCCCATTCTTGCCTGGTAATGACTTCATGATGTTTTCTGGGGAACTCAAGTTCTCAGCTCTTTATCTCTGGCATTCAGATAGCAGAATGTTTTGTTCTGGGGAACCACGCTGTTCACCCTGAAATGCTAGGAGTGTTATGGTAATTCCTGATCATTAAATGTTGCAGTTCATTCACGCTCGAGCTCCATTTTAAGGGTTTCCAAAAGTGTATATTGTATTGGTTAAGCAAAAACATTTGTTGTAAGTTTAGAAATGACTTAAAACTGGCATTTTTGTTACTAGTTAACGTAAGTGAAGTATAGTACTATTACTAGTCGAAAGTATTGATTCGATGTTATCGGAGTATAATATCTGTACCTCTAAACCTGCCCACATCGATAGGTGATCAATAGGTAATTACAATTTTAATAATGTAATAGATAACGCAATAGATAACATGCGTCGTACCTCTTACTGCTATTCCAGAATTCTTATTTAAAAAATGTGACGACCATTTAAGGGCGGAGAACACCAATAGTTCAGTTCTGACAGGCAGCTCCTATCTGTTCTTCACTTTTTCTTTTCGTTTTACATTATCAAATTCAGATGTCAATGGCGGCCGATCAAAATATTTCGTGCCTAACAAGAAATCGCAATCAATTACCCAGTTTTGACTCCCTACCGCGATAAGGAAGTTCTGGGAACAACAAATGCCATTCCCGAACACCCATTCCCGTCGAGAAACTCGAACGAAAGTCGTTGCCAGTTACATATTTAATTACTTTGAGCTGTTATTTAGAGTAGTGAATGAAATTCCGCTTGCTGAAGGATGGGGATTGAACTGGCGATCTTCGTAAGGATTGGGTCTTAGGCGGTGGCTGGCTTCTTCTGGGCCTTGCTGGGTGGCGTCGGCTTCTTGGCGGCCTTGGAAGGAGTCGGAGCAGCTGGCTTCTTGGGTGTGGCGGTGGGCTTCTTCGCCATGGCAGCCTTGTGGGGCACTGGAACGGTAGCCTTCTTGCCGGGCACAGGAACCGGGACCTTCTTTCCGGGCACGGGCACAGCAGGCTTAACGGCAACGGTGGGTGGGGTTGGTGGCTCTGGGGCCGGGGTTGGTGGGATGGGGTGCACCTCAACCTCCTGCTCATGGTGCTCGTGGTGTTCATGGTGCTCCTGCTGCTCATGGTGCACCGGGCTCTCTGGGTGAGACACTCCGGAGATCACTGGTGGTGCATTTTCGACAACGTGCATGGTGATGGGAGCAGAGGTGGGCAGGACATCCATCTGGGGGGCTGGGATGTAGTGGGCTGGCGACACGCACTGCTGGAGGACAAAGGTGAAGACCTCGCCGGCAGGACAGTGGACAGTCAACTGGCTGCCGTAGATGCTCGGGCACACATAGTACTCCGAGTTGCTGTGGTAGCTGGGCCAGCGGATGCCGATCTCGCCGCGGGCGCACTGCAGAGAGTAGTCCAAGCGGGCCTGGCTGAAAGCCAGCAGGCTCAAGAAGGTCAATGCGAATACTGTCAGGATTAAAAAAGAAGGTGTCTTTGATGGGGAAGTTTCATATATTGTAGAGATCTTTTCAAATCCTACCTTTCATCTCTGTGCTGCGTCCGTTTGGTTATCCGTGATACTTCAGTGGAACTGTGGTACTGCTCTACCAATGGCCCAATTGCCATTATTTATACTACTTCGCATCTTGCTATCAGAATCAGTGATCAGCTATCAGCGTTCTCCGCGTGATGCTACGAGAAAGACATGCAGACCGCTCCCAAAACTCCAAAAAAATTCACAGCTAATTGAATTTGTGTCGAACACGACAAGGAAATATCGACCACTAACAAGGTTTTCATGTAAAGGCCTTGGAAAAAAAGATTTTGAACACATCTCCCAGTTTTATATTCCTAAAGGTCGTAACTCCGAATTCCAATGAACACTCAGCGCACTTTAAAACACTAAGTCTTTTTTAAACAGGCCTATTACTACTGGCTCAACGAGATGTACATGGACATTCGCATCCCTTTGCCGATCAACTCGAATCCGGGCATGGTGTTCCCGCCGCGCCGCTTCAAGACCGTCCACGACGTGGCCCACTTCGCCGCCCGCCTGCTGGACGGCATCCTGAGCCACCGCGAGATGCTGGACAGTGGGGAGCTGCCGCTGGAGAGGGCCGCCTCCCGGGAGAAGAATCAGCCGCTGTGCATGGCGCAGTACTACCGCCTGCTGGGCTCCTGTCGTCGGCCTGGTGTTAAGCAGGACTCGCAGTTCCTGCCGTCGCGGGAGCGACTGAACGACGAGGATCGCCATGTGGTGGTAATCTGCCGCAACCAAATGTACTGCGTCGTGCTGCAGGCCAGCGATCGTGGGAAGTTGTCCGAGAGTGAGATCGCCTCGCAGATCCTTTATGTCCTCAGTGATGCTCCCTGTCTGCCTGCTAAGCCGGCGCCGGTGGGTCTCCTGACCGCCGAGCCAAGGAGCACCTGGGCTCGGGACCGGGAAATGCTTCAGGAGGACGAGCGCAATCAACGCAATCTGGAGCTCATTGAGACAGCCCAGGTGGTGCTGTGCCTGGACGAACCGCTGGCTGGGAACTTTAATGCCCGCGGCTTTACGGGTGCCACGCCCACTGTTCACCAGGCGGGCGATCGAGACGAGACGAACATGGCCCACGAGATGATCCACGGCGGAGGCAGCGAGTACAACTCCGGAAATCGCTGGTTCGACAAGACCATGCAGGTAATGCCATTAGATCTTGATTTATTTTGCATTCGAACATTTGTAAAATGCAACCTGATTTGCAGCTCATTATTTGCACCGATGGCACTTGGGGCCTGTGCTATGAGCACTCCTGTTCCGAGGGCATTGCTGTCGTCCAGCTGCTGGAGAAGATCTACAAGAAAATCGAGGAGCACCCGGACGAGGATAACGGTCTACCGCAACATCACTTGCCACCGCCGGAGCGTCTGGAGTGGCATGTGGGTCCGCAACTGCAAATGCGGTTTGTCCAAGCCTCCAAAAGTGTGGACAAATGCATCGATGATCTGGACTTCTACGTGTACCGCTACCAGAGCTACGGAAAGACCTTTATCAAGTCGTGCCAGGTCAGTCCGGATGTGTACATCCAGCTGGCCCTGCAACTGGCCCATTACAAGCTGTATGGACGACTGGTGGCCACTTACGAGAGTGCGTCCACTCGACGATTTCTACACGTAAGTATACCAGCATCCCTACAAAATATTATTCGAACATTTAGTATTCTAAATTAAATTTTTGAGGAAGGAGTATATTTCTATATAATTTACCAATTTTAAACTCTTAATTTCCTTTACAAATCGTCATTCTCTGTATAATCACTTCCAGGGTCGCGTGGACTGCATCAGAGCGGCCAGCACGGAGGCATTGGAGTGGGCCAAAGCCATGTGCCAGGGTGAGGGTGCAAACGTGCCCCTGGAGAGCGATCGCGATGATGAGGAGGAGTCACGCAAGGTCAAGTTTAGCATTTACAGTGTGGGTATTCCAGCGTAAGCCCACCTCCTTGGAAGGAGTAACTCATCTTCGCTCCCACCCACAGAAGGATCATCTCCGTGAGCTGTTCCGGTGCGCCGTCGCCCGCCAGACTGAGGTGATGGTGAAGAACATCCTGGGCAATGGCATCGACATACCGCTGCTGGGTCTGCGAGAGGCCAGTATAGAGGTCACCGGCGAGATGCACGAGCTGTTTAGAGACGAGTCCTACAACATCTCGCAGTGCTTCCTGCTTTCCACCAGTCAGGTAGTAATGGGTCAATAAGTCCTCGCTAAAAAGCACTGCACTCTCTCACCTCTGCACCACCCAATTAATTCTTGCACCACAGCACCACTGAGCACAAACCAGCTGCACAAAAGTAGGTATCAGCTAGAATGAAAATTTCGTCAGGATTGGGCACACAAGGTTGTAGCATCGGTATAATGGTCTCCTTGAAATACCATTTAGGTGGCCTGCTCTACGGACAGCTTCATGGGATACGGACCGGTGACGCCACGTGGCTATGGCTGCTCCTACAATCCACATCCGGAGCAGATCGTCTTCTGCGTCTCGGCCTTCTACTCCTGTGAGGATACGAGCGCCTCCCGCTACGCCAAGTCGCTGCAGGACTCGCTGGACATAATGCGGGATCTACTACAAAACTAGACGGACCTGGCCAGGATACAAGATCTGGCCACCAAAAACATATCAGTAAATGTACCTAAGCAGGTTAGCGAACGAAACTAAGTAAGTGTAACTAGCGACCACCCGGGCGTTTCATTTGTGACCAAGCACCACCAAGCGAGCCACCCAACGAGGGGTGGGCATCTGAAGAATAAGAAGGATAACGATAACGAAATCGGAATCGAAAACTAATGTCAATCACTATCACGTTGAGACAAAAAAAAAAAAAAAATAAGGAAACTATACGCAACCCATTCGCTTTACATATGCGTTACCTAATCCTCGTAGTTTGAATTAGAGCAACTCTAGTCAATTAAATGTTTTAGAGCCGTTTTATGCGCAAACTGTTAGTGATGTTATCTAAGTGTGTTACTTGTGCAATATTAAATATGAGTGTTATGCCATCACTTTCTAACTAAATTAGCAGAGCTTACGAACTTGTTTATCCCCACTGTCCGCGAATTCGTGCGAGCAAGCCCACAAGTATGCAATACTTTTCGTTACGAAAGTTGAGTTTCAGATACGTTCTATAGTTGTTACTCTGTAAAAGATACTAGCTAAAGCATATACTAAAAGTACACTGCGCTCGTTACTGCAATTTCGTTGTTTGTTTGCGGACTTACAAGTATTACAAAAATGATATATTGTCCGTTGATATATTTCCATATATATTCGTGTGTTAGAGAGCAAATGGTATACCGTAACTAAAGGCTTTTTGGATGAATATATATATATATGTACAACCCGTAAATGTTTAATGAAAAGAATGTAGAGGAATATATAGAATACGCGTATAGACTTGAGACGTAACAATACATATCAATAAATTTATATACATCCCAGGAACGCAAGTAATGCGATGGACGATTTAAAAAGATATAGATACATAACCTATGTGTGTTTGTCTGTTCAAGCCGTTAGCGAAATAGTATGTTTCGATAGCGATCCAAAGCTATCAATAATCTACAAATAATATATATACAAAAATACTATACGTATGTTATTTACAATGGAAATTATATGAGAAACGTTAAAGGACAACCAGATACATATATCAAACTAGTTGCTGTGTTCATTGTTGCTATATATGTATGATTATCTTCTAAACTGTTTACCGAACTATCAGTACGTACTATCCAACTAACTATCCTGTATTCGATCTGTGTATCATTACGTTACCTTACTGTTTGTCGTTAAGTTTGACTCGTTTCCATATGGCCAAGAGCCGCTATTAATGTATGCAAAAATAATCACGAGCCGAATAAATTGAAATAAATGCATTACAAACCAAGACCATCATTCCTGACCTACAATTGATCTGCTGGTGAATGAAAATACTAGTATATGGATTTGGATAACTCGCGCGGCCAAATTGGCTACATATTCCCAGTGTCTTCCAAGAATAGATAAGTGTCTTCCGCTTAAAACAGTCGTGAAATCCGCGTTGCGCACTTCTTAATATCCAAGTGGTAAATACGATAACAAATAAATAATGATAAGCCAATGCCAGATAAATAGTGTTGTGGTAAATTAATTAAATATACCAATTTATCCCCACGGCCAAGTGGTTCTCCATAAAAGGCGCTGGCCGTTCTGGGCAGTTCAACAGTCTTTAACACGCCGTCACCATGAAATGTAAGTATTGTAAAAGGAGTAACCGCCAATACAATCCGTGGACCACTCGAGTAACCCACTCAATTCGTTGCAGACTTCAACCTGCTGTTTAGCCTCTGGCTGGTCTTCATGCTGTGCTCCTCGTGGGTCTCGGCTTTCTCCAGTCTTGCCACCCCGGACCCAACTCCGCCAACAGGTGCTCCCGTCGATGGTACCACTGGCACTGGATTCCCTGGACCTCCCTCGGCTGAAACCACAAATGCTACGCCCGAAGTTTCGACTATCTATCCCATCTACGGATAGTCATCATCAAATCAATTGATGAATTAAAAACTAAATCGCAGATATATTAAAATACGTGTAATTTTCACTTGCATGAAATTAATTTGGGTACGGTACGAAAGGCTTTTGATTATTTTATACGGGTTATATATTGTCAAACATAAAACCAGACGTGGCCATTCAAATAATCGGCATTCACATAAATTAGACACTAAACGAAATGCACACCGATGTACATATGCATCATATGTGGGGGTGAGCCACAAGCTAGTGAAGCAGGCACCAGGTTGCGCTTAGCTGCTGCTGGTCGCCACATTCCGCCGGAAAGAGCCACGCACCTGCATCTGCAACTGCTCGCTGCTGCACTCGTCTCGCCCGTACTGCACATGGAAACGAAAATCAATTAGCAACATTTGGAAGCGGGCTAATCACTGGCGTACGTACCTTGCAAAAATTGTGCTCCAGCAGTTCCACTGCCGTCAAACGGATCTTGGGATCGTGCTGCAGACAATGATCGATGAAGTCGTGACCCTCCTGGGATAGGCTTTCCGGCGCCTGCGGCTTCTCGCCCATGCCCACTTTGAACATGATCTGGAAGTTCGAATCAAACTGGGCCCACGGACGCTGTAAGGAAACCAAAGATATAATATATACAATAAGCAAATATCTTAGCAACTGAATTCGATATTATTTCCATGAAGTGTATTTAAATATTTTTATTCAAAGTTAATATTTGGATAATAACAAATTATATTATTATGTTATCATAGAAATACTAGTTAAAGTTGATCTTATACTGTATTCGTAAAATGCATTCATTAAAAAAATGTATTTTATTTGAATCACTACAATTAGAGTAATTTGGCAAGTAACTTTTCACATCGCCATATTGCATAAATGAGTGGATAATTATGAAAATATATAAAATGGCTCCTAAAGCTAAGCACGAATAATCCAACATTGTGAAATAGTCTGTACACCCCGGCCCGTAGCACGGAATGCTTATCTACAATGTGAAGCACTCACCTTGCCCGACGCCATCTCGACAACCACACAGCCCACCGACCAGATATCGGCGGCCCTGCCATGGCCATCGCTGTTGGTCTTTGTGAACATCTCCGGCGCCATATAAGCCTGCGTGCCGACGTAGCCCTGCAGCTCGCCGGGCACGGTGGTGTGCGCCTGGATCTTGACTGCTGATCCGAAATCACCTAGTTTCAGGCTGTTGCTGCCGTCCACGAGGAATATGTTAGCGGTCTTGATGTCGCGGTGCACAATACCATGCTTGTGTAGCTCAGACACGCCCGACAACAGCTGGGCGGTGAATCGGCGCGTAAGTGCCTCTGGCAGATTCCCAGTCAGCTCCACCAGCGACTCCAGGGTGCCCTCAGAGCACAGCTCCATGAAAATAAGCAGCTCTTCGCGGTGCACCTCGATGCCATAGTAGCGCACCAGGTTTTTGTGCTTTATTCCTTCCAGGATCTTTAGCTCTTCGGCCACGTTCTTGAGCGCTCGCGTCTCTCCCGGCTGGATTGCGATCTCTTTCATGGCCATCAGCTCTCCCGAGTTATTGTTCACCGCCGTGTACACCTTGCCGAATCGTCCCTGGCCTATCTTAATACCACGATGCCAGCGGAAATGAACGCTACGTGCCCTTATATGCACCTTGTCGCTGGAGTTAAGAGACTTGACCTGTCCAATCAACATCCGTTCGCGCAGCCCGTCCTCTAGATCCATATCCAAACGGTTGACGGCATCTCTAACTCGTTCCTGCCGCAAGGCCAAGGGTGTGCTTTCTAGGCTTCTCTTTCCAGGAGATGCTGGAGTGGGAGGCGTCTGGGGCACCATCAGACGCAACTCGCCGTTGGGACTCCTTTGACACGGAGTGTCAACGTAGTCTGAACTGTCAACGGAGCTGAAGGAGTTTCCTAACAGATTCTCCTTTAGGCTGAACTGCGGATGCAGTAATTTGTTGTACGGTGGCGATTGCAGTGGTGGCGTATTAGGATTAAGGTTCATGCCGGCGGACATTGGAGTCCGTGTTGGTGTCCGGGAACGCGAGGTGGCCGGTGAAGAAGTCTTGCGAGTGCGTGGCGAAGCCTTTTTCTTGGCGACCTTTTCGGGTTCCGAGGTGATACCAATCACGTGCGAAATACAGCGATCCATCTGCTGCTTTAGCGACTCAAACTCGTCGTCGTCCAAGTGTTGGGTGATTTGTGGATCACACGCAAGAATCAGAAACTCCAGACCCTGGGAAGCCCAACGGGGACGCATTCCTCGCCCACGCTCGCAACGCTCCATTACGAAATGCATCCACATCTTAGCGTAAGCGATAATTCCTAGGGCAAGATCTACCGTGTGAGCACCGCTGTCCTTTTGGTCCATAATCTTCTGCTCGAACAACCGAATGACGTCCTTGTGATACTCGAACCCAAATTTATATCCCTGATGCAAAATCTCCCGAGTGCGCGATAGAACAGCCTGTTTGTCCTGCTCATCCAAATCTCGCATGTTGCTCAAACAGCACCGTTTTTGCACCCCTTCAATTATTGCCGTCAACTTGTTGCGCACCTGCAATACGTCCTGCTGCAACAGCTTGAACGCTGCCTTTACGTCCGAACAGATGAAGTCATGCTGCTGGTTGGCCACATCATGTTCGTAATGCTCGCGATGAAAATCCGTCGTCTCTACGTCGCGACAGAAGGTTTTGGCAAAGAAGAGCACCTTAATTGAACGCTCTCGTTCGACTGTGAGCAGCGATTGTGTCTCTCGGCAAATAGTCAGCAGTTGCCATTTAACCTCCTCGTTGTCGTCAGTGTCGGCTGTGCCATCGATCTGTTGATCCAGCTCAACGGTGCGCTTCACCAGGCGTTCGGAAATGCTCCGCAAAAGCTTGCTGATTATGCCACAGAACTTTTGGGATGCTAACGTGTGCATGCCCTTTATCATGGGACTGATGAGCTTGGTAAACATCCACTCCTTCTCAAGGACGGATTTCTGGTTGCCCTCCGGAACGGCAACCAGCACCAGTTGATCAATGTAGTCCAGATACAGCTCGAAAGTCTTTCGCACCGTAGCATCATAGTGGTTTAAAATACTAATGTAACTGCCCAGTTCCGCCTCATTCTCCACCAGCGCGGTGGTTATGTGCCGCTGGTATCGCTCTCGATGGGTCAAAGCTAGGGTCAAGCCCTCCCTAAGCTCCTTCATCAACTGTTCCAGGCTCAGGGGATTGGGTCGAACGGGTCTCGTTTCGAGACGCATGCGCAGGAACTCATGCATGAACTGCAACGGAATTCCGCTCAGAAATACAAAGGTGGGAATGTACGAGGGCAGATTTATCGATTGGGCTTCCTCGCTCCAGTAGCCGTAGGTGCGCAGCTCCACAACCTGTTCGCGACTGATTTGAGGATCTAGCCTTGGTACGTCTTCTTCAATGGACTCTGCATCTGACTCGTAATCAAAGTCCTCAGCTCCGGGTTTCTCTAGAGCAATGTGAGCCTTGTACAATGCCACGTTGTGCAGCTTGTGTAGAAAAGCCAGCGACTTGGCCAGTCCCCGACTTTTGAGCACATTTTCTATGAACTTGCGATACAGTCCAGTAGACTGCTCTCCTGTTCCATTGTGACTGCACGTACCCAACGGCTCAACACTGAAAATGTTGATGTCGTGAATGGATCCCTTGCGCATATGCCCGTGAGAGCACTCACTGGACCACTGGCTTATCTCCGTGGAGGTGGATCTAAAGGAAAATGGAAGTTATATCTTGTTTTTCAGTACCAATACTGTACCAACTTACTCATTGCTACTTGATGTCTCGCCTGGAACGTGGGTGGCGTCGTTTAGCATGAATTGCACTTTGGGAGACGGTGTGACACCCTTCCGCGAGGCTGATCCGGCCACACTGGGTGGCTGGGATGAATCCATTGAGTTGACAGCCGAATCATCGTTTTCTACACCCGATGCTGATGAACTACCGCTGTCGGAAGCGATGTAGGATGAAGTGCACACGGGCCAAGAGAACTTCTCATCTTGCAGTCTTGCCAGAATTTTTCCCAGAATACTGAGCTTCAACTTGTTTTGCTTGGTAATGTTGTACCACAAGCACATGGACTTGATGCGGCCTACAAAGCTCTGTGATTTGTAAATGGGATGCAGGGCGCCCATTGCCTGTGAGGAAGGGTAGAGTGCTTCTGCAGCTTCCAGGCGCGTCAGCATACCCTCTACTTCTCGCAGCGCCAACTCCTGATGGTCCATGCAATCCTTGCAGTACAGCGACATGCAGCCTTGGCACATCTTGCTAGGCAGTGGAGCTGGAATAGATGTTAATAATGACTAAGGGTTTACTTTTGAAGAATGGTTTGACATACAGCTGGCATTGGAGTTGCTGTCGGAATGAATGCCACTATCCAGGCTGATCAGACTCGGCTCGCGGCGATAACGCGGCTGGAACTTGTAGTTTATAATGTGGGTGAGCAGATCGGAGACTCCCTGTCGCGCTTCGAAGAGGTACTTGTCCTGCTGCTCCACAGTTCTGTCTGCTTGCCAGGCCTGCAGCTCTAGCCAGATGAGATCCTTCAGCTCAGTCTGCCAGGTATGCTCCTCCTGTGATAGTTTCGCGTCTTGTCGGTCTACGCTACCGAGCTTTATTAGATTGGCAAAGGTCTCGTGGAAGTCCTTTCTTTTCCCCAACCCAGCTGTAGCTCTTCCATCACTCCTTAGCATTCCAGCGGGAAGTTGCGCAGCAAAAGCCAATGGCGGCGCCGAGGAGCGATAGCCAATGGGCCGTGAGGAGACGCAGCGATAGCGATTACAGCTCTCCACCACCTTGGAAGCGATTCGCAGTGGAATCTGCGCCATCCCCTCCGAATTGAGCGGCATGATCTGGTCCAGCGACTCAAGTGGATGAGCTGTCTCGTGGAAGCTATTTCCTCGTGGAGGAGCCACCGCCGTCGTCGCCAACGAGTTCTTCATCTCCCGTTCCGAGTCGCGAAGGAGAGACTGCAACCGCTTATCCGTCCGCTTGTTCTCATCGTTGACAAACATCTCGTTGAGCAGGGCGCAGTCCATTGTGTTGCGTCGCAGGAC